CCCACAGTAATATTTTATATCAGTGTAATTCTAACAGAAAGCCATTAGGCCAAAGAGTCAACTATCTGTGACCTTTGCAATTATTTGCTAACACAGTCCCAAAAGATTTGATGTACTTTAAAAAGAATATTTCCTAGACTTTGCACCAGTCTTACGAGCAGCTAACAGATCTTGCTATTCTCTTTGAAAGTTGGGGAACCTGATGAATGGAGATGGAAGGTGAAGTCAAAATGAACTTATATAAACACAAAGTTTCGATCCTATTTGAAATACCAAATTTGATGTGGAAACTATTTTTACAATGAAAAGGAGGCTTCAGGGGCTTGATTCCAGCATCAGGCAGCAAAGTGTTCGCTTCATCACACTGGCTCTGAGAACCTGGGCAAATTTCTCAACTTCTCTGAGCCTAGTTTCCTCATCTGTAAAGCAGAGGGCATGATAATATATAATTTGTATGATTTGAATGGTTGTAAAGATCCAGTGAAATAATATGCCAACGGGAACAAATGTAGTACTTGGCGCACGATAAGCAGGTGAGAAATATCACCTGCCATTGTTATTTACACAAAATGGCCCAAACTGAGTGAGGGCCATTTGAATGGCCTTGGAATAACTATACACTATTATATTCTATAACCAAGTTCCCACCAATATTGTAATATGCTACTAATTTCCCAATTATTATGTTTCTCTTCACCTTTACTTTTGCAGGTGCCCCCTCAGTTTGTCATCAAATAGAAGATGTGTAAATAGAAAAAAGAAGTGATACTCTAGCCCTCATGAGGCATTTCATAGCTTTATGTTTTTACCTCCAGGGACATAGAAGCTAGTGGGGATGGTCAGAACAATCCTGTGCACAGGCACGAATCTGACAAGTGCTAGGCCTTCTGTCTTCCAAGCAGAATGTGGGGCCTATGATAGCTACATTTTGCTCCCTGCATTTAATTACAGGTAGGAAAATGAAAAGTGAAGGAAGGGCTTCTCTCCATGTGACCTGGGTTTGGAAGTGATCATTACTTAATGAAGCCCCTTTGCTGACATCAGGAAGGGAATTGCTAAAACAGTCTCCTAACTGGTCTTCCTGCTTCTACTCTGACCCCCATTCATTCTAGTCTCAACCCAGCTTCCAGAGGGACCCCTTCAATCTGTGGATCAAATGCCATCCCTCCATCTTCAAAACCCTCCAATGCCCTCCCATCCCACCAACACCACCTCACTCAGAGTAAATGCAGATGTCTTTCCAATGGTCTATAAGGCACTGCATAATCTGGCCTCAGGTTTCATCTCTCACATATTCCACAGGGCTCACGTGGCCACCGTACCCAGCACTGCAACCCTTATCTGCACTCCCGTTAACATTTCCCTGCTCTTCCAGGAAGGTATAGCTTTCAGCAGTCTCTCTATAGTTTTCATGAACACAAAACTTACTGTTTGTGGTCTGTTTCAAGAAGATAAGCTGTATGAAAGTCAGGGCTCACTAATGTATTCTAAGAGCCCTTAGAAGAATGCCTTGCAGCTCTCAAGTATTTGATATACATATATATTTGTTGGATGGATAAATGGAGAATGAATAAATGAACACATTCACTCGTAGGCTCTTGGTTGCCAATAACCAACTGGGGTAAAGTGAGAACTGGCAGGCAACAACTTGTTTCCAGAGCACAAAATCTCCTCTTTGAGCTCTGAGGAAGCAAATAGGCTTCCTGCTTTCCCCCAGTACCACCTGAAAGGGAATGCAGGTTTGCTCACTAAAAAAAAAGAGAAAAAAGCTCATTGCCTTTCACAGAACTTCAGGCCAAGCTAAACCTTCATGTTGTAGGATGCCTGCATTCTGGTGCCGCATCCCTCTATTAATAAGCTTTGAGGTCCTGGGAAAGTCAATGAACTTGACTGAGACCCACCAGAATAAATGACAACTAATTTGCTTTCCAGCTTCGAAAATCTCAGCATTAAGAAAAAGGTGACAATGAGTCAAGCCTGCTTGATCATTCTTTATCTCAACCCCAATTTGTAAGCAGTACCCAGACTTTCAGAGTTCAACCTAAAGAGAAAACCCACTATCCTATCTGGCCCACCTCACAAAAGAAATGATGTTAACAGTTAGGTGCGACTCATCTAGAAATACTTACAGTACCTCAGGTGATAAGCTGGAACCTGATTCCAAAGCTATGTTAATGCTTTCTTTTAATTTGGAACTACAGTCCTGACCAAACAAAAACCTTTTCAACAGATGGCAGTACAATAGTTACCGATCGCCCCCTGTCATTGGCAGCTCTTCCAGCTTGTGCCATCTCACCACATCCTCTGGAACCTGTAAGGTATTTTGAACTTTCAAAAGTACCCATGGCACTCAGATGTATAGTAATAACAATAATAATAGCCAAGTCTGAACCAATAACATTACTTTCATTCACAAAACAACTATTTTGTCAGCAACGCATGCCCCGTACGCCACAGTAGCGCTGAGAGCACTCTGAGATGTAAAAGGCGTGCTCCTTCTGCTCGGAACGCCGTCTGCATGAGGAGCAAAGAGAGCTCAATGAAAAGTAACAAAAGAAGAAGAAACAGCAGCAGTGGCTCTGACTTGAGAATTTAAAAGAAAGTTTAGGGGATAAAAATGCAGACATGACACAGAAAATGTCTTAGAAATTACTGAAATTACTGCTGAGATACAAATATCTCCAACACCGCTGGTGAATATTATTCTAGCCATCTTTCCCTTTCTTTTTTAATCAAAATGGAAACATGATATCTAATCACAACCTCCATAAATAGCTTTTAAAACCTCACTATCATTGTTAATGCTCATTCAAATCTACATCATTTTAACTGGCTGAATAGCATCCCTTTAATCAATTTACTTAAGCAATTCCTATTGGTTCGCTTCTACATACGTTTTTCAGTAGCTGCCCAAATATTTATTACTGGGTCATTTTAAAGTAAAAGTACTTTGTTTGGGAGATATATACAGTATATCTCTCTGTGTGTATATCTGTATATATGTCAATTGCTTTTGAATAAAGTTCATTTGTACGAGTGGGGTTTTGCATATCCATTCTGGGTTTATCATTTAAACAAAAAAGCTTTGCTATTCTACTCAGTAAGAAGTGGTATCTAATTCCCATCTACTTTTGCATTTATATTTTTAGTAAGATTATATTTTAAAAACATCTTATTTGGTAATTGATACTTTGTTAATTATTGCCTTGTTCTCGACTCAATCTATTAGTAGTTTCATATTTTTCCTATGGATTTATAAAAACTCTTCATCTTTAAGTTACTAAATTCTTTGTCATGGCAGATTAAATGAATATTTCCCTGAATTGGCTATTTGCATTTTTACTTTGTTTATTATGATTTTATAATAAAAATTTTATATATCTCTCTCTTTAGTATTATAGAATCATATTTCTTTTATGATTTCTACATTTTAATTGTCACATTTACAGCTAATATATATTAAGAGGCCACAGTTAAAATCCTCCTGTAACTCTTTCATAAATCACATGAAAATATGTAAAATCAATGTGATCATACAAAATGAGTTTACTTACCGCAAAGTACATTTTTTTATTTTGAATTTAGAGATGAGTCTTATGGGGGAAAAATTCCCAGCAGATCTTTTCATTTCCAAAGATTATAGTATTCAATATTGAATGACATGAAAATCTTATTTTTTTGAGCCAACAAACATTATTATATTGTTTTAATTGCCATTTGTGTCCATTTGGCTCCTCACCTGGACTATATGTGCCTTATGCATTAAGAGAGTAACTTCCACTCAAGACTGAGTTCTATGACAAGTTATCTATAAAATAGTGGTAACTGGATATACATAGTTTAATAAATAACTTAATAAATAGTAAGCACTGGATGATTCAGTGAATTTCATGTGTAACACACATATTAAGACTTCTTGAAAATGAGAAAGATGATAAATAGTTAAAAGGGTATGTTTGTAGCTATTAATCTAAGACCATCATATGATATAAACAGAGGTGTGTGTGTGTGTGTGTGTGTGTGTGTGTGTGTGAGTGTGTGTGTGTGTGTGAGAGAGAGAGAGAGAGAGAGAGAGAGAGAGAGAGATTGAGATCAAGCAGCTCCAGAATCCAGGCTGCCACTGAATGAATGGACCTATAGTAATGGGTGGGTATAAAATTGACAGGTGAAAGTCAAACCAAGACAGCATTATAGCCTTCCCACAGAACAAAGTGAACAAAACTTCCAATGGTAGAAATCAGGAAAGTGAGAAGAAGAGCAATCTGAGCTGGGCAGGAAGGGGATAGGAGTAGTGGTTCTGCTGTTAGACACACTGCACATACATTGGGTGGGATACTCAATTACAGTTGTGCCTTAGACTGTCAAAAATACAGGGCTAGGGCACATATCTGAGTGGACCAGGGGAAGTAGGAAAGGGAAGCAACCTTTGAGAGTGCCTACATGATCTCAGACACTGTCTTAAGCATTTTTCTCATAGAATTATAATTAGAATTTCAGTCATCCACACATCAGTGATAGATTAGAGAAGCACTTGTGCAGAGCTTGCTGAGATCCTGGCTCCACCATTTCTAGCTGTTTAGACATGGAGGCAGTTTGCTTACCCTCTCTGTTAACCTTAGTTGTATCACCCCCAAAATAAGAGTAATAGTATGTACTTCAAAGAGCCAGAATAAATGATACAACCCAGAAGAAATAGCACGATACCTGAAATATAATAAAAACTCAATATAAGTAGTCATTAATGGAAACAGAACAAAGAACTTAACAACTGGTTTTAAGGATGGTCTGCATTAAGAGATAGAAGGCAGAGACACTAAGAATACAGAGAGGTATGCAAGAAAATGGGGGAAACTCTTGAAAACACAAAGTTATAGAAATCATGGGGCTGAGGGCTTCTGAGGAGTTCCTTAATCAAAGTTAGTCATGAGGACGGGGAAATGGACCATTTAGTGCTGCTTGTTCTTCATGTAAGCAAAGTCAATTTGGAGAGCACTACATACCCAAAGTTGGTCATCCATGCCGGGTGGGTTCTTTTTAATAAAAGCACCATAATATGTAGCAATATTCCGATGATGAGAATATTTTTTCAGCATGTTAATTTCTTGCTTTATTTCTTCCTCTTCATCCTGTATTAGAATAACAAATATTTGGTCACGATAATCCATGCCTTAGTAGAATTCTATTTCTTCATCTGAATCAACTACATAATAAATTCTTTGTTTTTTTTCTTCTGTGGTGATAAACAAGTACATTAATTGTATAAGTTGACTTTTTTTTCTTGACTGCAAAGAAAAAATTTGCAAGACAACAAACATATTGGCAAGCCAAAGGGTCTTGTGTTTGTACAACAAATAGGCATAGCAGGTTTGCTGGGGGGAAAAATAAAACAAAACACCTCATTCCTTTACCTGGAAAAGAACCAAAGTAGGCTATTGAGATAAAATTCACTTCAGACCTCTGGGAACTATGTCCATCAAATACCTATTACTGATTCTGTCTGGTATAGAAAAGATTAAGGAAAGTGAAAAAAATAGAGAGCCATATTTAAAATTTAAAATTTAAGTTCGCACTCTTTGAAGCCGACTTTGACTGAAGTACCTGACTGCAGATGATGAAAGTCAGAGGAGAAGGGAGTGAGGGTAAGTTCCCTAGATCTGAGGAAGTTCATGAAGCAGGAGTACCCAGCTCGCCTTCCGGAAGCTCAACATGAAGAGAAAGGGGAAACATGGCAGTGACACCGATGTGAAAAGACACAACTCTCCCAAGTGTCCCCATTCAGGTTTCATTTGTTCTGAGCTTCAACTTGGAGTCCACCAACTTGAGTCATTTTTACACAGCCCCCACCCCCACCCTAGCCAGGCACCATTGATGGAGAGAGTTGTGTTCTCCCATAATTTTATTTTCATATGTTCACATCAGTTGGACTTTAAAATAGTATTTTATTTTTGAAGTTGGTGGAAAAAGTCTACAGCCATATCACCCTGAATGGCCTGATCACATCTGAAGTTGGTGGAAAAAATTTTTTATCTCAGGGAACATGTGTTTAGACACAGCAGTAGGAATGCATAAGTATAAGATGTTGCCATGGCCTGAAAAGACACACTCGCAGTGGGTCCTGCTTGTCCCCTTGCCCCTTCCCGCTGCTCAGCCTCCCTCCCACTTCTCAACATTGCCAGGCCCTTCTGCAGTCTCTCAGGGGATGTCTTTGTTCAATTCCTCTTCTTCACACAGTTCCCACTCACCATTTTTTATTGAATTTAATGGACACTCCTCAGGGACATCTTCCCTAACTCTCTCAGGCAATGTCAAGCTCCACCCACCTCCCGCCCCTGCCACTGTACCTGTCCATCCCCTACTGCTCTTGACACATGGGCCATATTTGCTGGTATCAGTTGGAGGGGTGGGTCAGTTGTGTATAACTTCCCATTTACTCGACTCTCTTCTGCATGAATCATAAGCTTTCTTCTGCCCTCAGATCCCAGTTCCAAAGTCCCTTCCTCAGGAAGCTCTCTGACCTGCTTGATTTGAGGGGAGCCCTGTGGATCATCCTGTGTCTCTCCCATTGTAGCACCTGCCAGAATTGCAACTTCATTTAGCTGTCTAATCATTTAAGTACCTCTTCCCTACCAGTTCATAACGACTCTAAACATAGGAATCTTTTGCTTTCTATAACATCCCCAGCACCCAGCAAAGTGTCTAGGAATAAATGTGCATAGAAGATTGAATACCTACAAAGAGCCCAACCATGCACAGCAGTGTTAGTGATGCCTGAAAGGAACTGCTTAAGAAGAAGATGAGGAGAGTGGTAAAATGCTGACATTTCCTAATCACACAAAACTAAGTTCAATAAAAAACCATGGAGATGTGCAAACCTAGGAGAACTGAGTGGGTTGCACATCACGTGGCCTCACTAAGTTGAAGACTAGGTAACCTCAAAATAGAACGCATGATTGGCATGCTGAGCCAAGGTGAAGCACGCGGCCGTCACAGTGGAGGGGAGTGAGGGGTTGGGATGATGACTGAGGGAAGGGATGGCTTTCTGCTGACCAAGGAAGGAATTCTTCCCTGCGGCTATGGAAAGCTGCCTACACCTTCACCACAGACCTCAGGAGATGATGACCTTCACAGACCTCGGCTTGTGGACAGGTCCCTGTAACATGCCTCAAATGTATTCCTGTGGTGCATGTGAGCTATTTTAAACTCACCGCGTGGGGCCTAATAACTGTGGATGATGGTAGGATGTGAGCAGATGTACTTTAGGGAAGCATAAATAGAAGGGGCAAAAACAAACCTGAGGGTTACTGTGGGCAGCCTGGCCTTGACAGCTGCTTCGATTAAAAAGGCAAGTACACAAGGCAGTAAAACACTGATCACTGTCTAACTCTGCCTGACAGCTCCTGTCATTCCTAGTGAGCAGCCAGGTCCTAAAAGTGCCTGCTGCCTGCCTCCTAGGTCCCAACAGGACAGTGAATGATGGGGGAAAGTCAGAGGTGGCAGCTGGGGGGAGAAAGGAGTTCTTAGAAAAAGCTTACCAAATCATTAAGAAAATAAAAACTTATGAAACCATTAAATAACAGTGTAATACAGTATATTATTAGACCCAGAATAAATAGTATTGGAGATCGGGATGAAGTCAGCACGTTCTCTATCACTTTGAAAAGGTAAACTGAGGCAATATGATGATGAAGAAATCATGTACGTTGAGTCGGAAAAGTGGGGGTGGGCAGGCTGCACATTCAGTTTGGGCTCCACTCGTTTCTGGCTATGTGATCTCAGGAAAGTGCTCTACCGTTTAGAGCCCAGTTTTCTCATCTATAATGAGATACAGATTTTATAATAGTATTATTATATATCCCAGTCTTTTGTGATAACTAAAGAAAGTATGTGAAAGTTATACACTGTAATACAAATAAACATTATGATTAATCTTCTCAACCAACAAGTAAATAAATAACAAGGATAGGATGGTGGGAATGTGAGTAACTTGAATTTTAGGTTTAAATTCCACTGTTTCCAAACACAGTGATGGAACCACTGTGGGTCATGGTTATGTAACTCTAAAATAGAATCTTGACCTTGCTCTTACATAATCTTGTAAGTGACCATACAATTTCTGAGGACTTCAGGGCTATTGTTTATCCAGATTTCTAGTGTAGGGCAAGGGCAGCAGTAAATTATTCAGTGAAATTGAAAGGGGGCACTTACTATAACCCATTTCACTATTCAACAAGCAATCTACCCTCTCACAGTATGGCTTTTTGAAAGAGATGGGTTATAATGTTTTCCAAAAGACAAACACTACAACTGAGGTTAGAATTAGGTTACAAAGTTGTAAGACTCAGATATCTTCTATTTTGTAAATGGATCGTTTCTATGTCTTAAGAATTAAGCACAAGCATCAAGCTCACTGGGGAACTAATGGCCACTGGATCATAACTGTAAACAAAGCAATGCTACCAAACTGTCACAAATTGAAAAAGAGTTTTTTCATACGCAAAGTCTAGTGTTGTAGAGGAAGAACCATTACTTCAAGCGGATGCCTTTAATATCTAATCTGAGCTGATTCAGGCATGGCATTTAAACTTTTCAAATGTCACATATTTGCACCTATAAAAGGGAATAAGAATACCTTTCTAAGTCTCCTCTCAGGGCTTAAAAATGATTAAATGCTTATTAAGCATAAGCAAAGCTTTATTGCCAACATAAAGAAGATTTTTTTCTCTCAAGATCATAGGAATCTATTTATTGCTTAGTATTTGTGGTAATTAACAAAAAAGTGGCCATGATATTCAGCAGTCTCCCTCTTGAGGATTTGAAGTCCATTTCCTTTCCTCATTGTTGGGTTGGCCCTGTGACTTGCTCTGGCCCATGGGACATTAGCATATTGATGGAGCAGAGGCTTGAAAAGTAGTGTGTATTGGCCTGGTGCCTCCTAGCTGCTTGCCGGGAGCAACTTGCGAAACCAGGAGCCGCCTCCTGGAGGAGGACGAACCCTATGAAGAGGGGGTGATTTTCAAATGCGAAGAAATGGATGACTCCAGGTCATGCTTTTAGGCCACTACCTTCCTATGAAGATCATATGAAGATAATATGATAATCATTACCATGGTGACAAAATACAGCAAAAGCCAAACTTATGTAATATTCACTACATACTAGAGGCTGTGTGCATATTATCTTAGTTAATACTCAAAACAGCTCTATGAAATAGATCCATTTAATGATCTTATTTTACAAATGAGGAAAATGAGTTCATTCATATGTTAAATGTTAAAGCTAAGATACAAAGTGAGAGTTGTCTCATTCCAAAGCCAGTGCTCTTAATTCTATACTGAAAACTCCTAGACAGAAAAAGGATCATTACCCATGGCGATGAAACCAAAGTGCTAATCACGAAAGAAGAATTTAGGGGCATTTTAATCAGGGCTGGATTACAGGGCTAAAGAGAAACCTGTCTTTGGTCCTGCAATTAAAGAAGCTTCTCTGCACGGAATAACATTTACTTGTGAATGATTTCAGGGGATAATGGAGGTATTCTAAGTTGCATATTTATTAAACAGGGGAACACATTATAAGCCCCTACAATATGCTAGGATTTAAAGATAGGATTGATAAGGCATTTAATATTAATGTGCTCTCTAATAAACAATTTGCCTAAAATATAGTTCACAACCCGTGGAATGGAAATAAAACTATGTATAAAATATAATGATAATCCAAGGGCCTGGTCAGTCCGAACGCTAGAAGGAAATAGGCAGTGTATAGACTCATGAATGCCATGCCCTTCTAGATGTGCAGGTGCTGACTATAGTCCCTGCTGCTCCTGCTCACCTGTCCTGCTTCCTACAGGGGTTGCTGGCATTGGGCAGGCATTCATGTTAACCTATCATTCTTACCTGCATTGTTGACTAAATGGAACAAAAAAAATTGAAGACTGTTTTGGTTAAAGAATCTTTGACTATTAGATTTTTAAGAGATTGTTAACATTTTCTAGGATGTGATTTTTAAAAAATATATAATAATTTGGATAAATTCTTCCAATAAAAATTCAAGATACCAACAAATAGCATCAACAAAAACTTGACTTTTTAAATCAGTAAATCCTTATTTTATAAGCTTAATTACA